AAACAGTAGTCTACATCGGCTATATCTGCCTCACCAAACTTGCTATTATATATTCCGACATGTGTCCTCCACAACATCATCAATCAAATTGGCGTGGACCGCGATGCCCCGCGGACCACCAGTCCTCAAAATGAGACAACAACGGAATGCCATACCATCCTTAGTACTTCGTCGTGCAATTAGCCTCATCATGGCTCAACCTACGCGGTTAGTCACTGAGATGCGCATGGTATATCGTGGACTGCGTTCGTATCCCGATCAAACACACAAGAGAAACAAAAAACAACGAGCGAGCGGCGGAAAAATAACACACCAGGAAAAATTCCACATGATTGTAATTTCAACCNACTGAGATGCGCATGGTATATCGTGGACTGCGTTCGTATCCCGATCAAACACACAAGAGAAACAAAAAACAACGAGCGAGCGGCGGAAAAATAACACACCAGGAAAAATTCCACATGATTGTAATTTCAACCGTCGCAAAGGAAAATGCCGACAAGCCGATTCGCAAGCAACGCACGCAAGGGGAGGGGCGTTGAGGCACCACGGGGAAAAACAGATCGAGATATCACCAGAGTGGTTCGTATGCTACATCCAACTCGACTGCGGTGACTGCAGTCTCGTCCGTAGATTTCGATGGGCAGTTCTTTGCGTTGTGCCCCTTTTTCCCGCACCTCTGGCAAAGCTTCTCTGGGCATGCACTTGCAAAGTGGTCCCCATCGCAAATGTAGCACCTGACTGACTTCTTATCGTTGGCCAGGTACTCCTCTTCGTCCCCTCTGGTTTGTTTCGACCGTCTCTTCCCTCTCCCGTTCCCCTCTACTGCTACGAACGCATGATGATTCGCTCGCCGATCACTCATCCCCTTCTTGTCCTTCGCTTGCAGTTGCCCAGCCCATGAGCGAAGAACTCTCAAAATCTCTTCTTCATCGAGTGTTTTCTGGGCGAGCAGCTAGCTGTTGCTTTTGAATCTCAGATTTCGGGGAAAGCGCATCGGGGAACCGTGCAAATACGAGCATTTTTGTGGAGTAGTTGTTGAAGATCGCTCGGGTCAGCACCCCCCACAGATCCCGGTATGTATGTGGCCATCTCCCCTACTTCCACCCCCTGCCCTACCATGCCATCATCGTCTATGCCTAGGACCACGATGTCTCTGCTGTCACTCAAGGCACGACCCATTCACAAGTCTGCACCTGCGAAATGAAAACATCAGCCGGTTCTTTTCATCTCCGATGACGTCCAACTGTTTAGACGTGGTATCCGGGCATGCGAGCTGAAAGCACACCGTGAAGCTTGCTCCTCTCTGCTGACTCCTTCTCGCGAGGGAGCACCGTATGGTGTAGGCTCTCGTGGTTCCGGGCCTTGCAATCCTCTCGCTCCCTCGAGCCCTCGTCCGGTATTAGGCGCGTGGTCCAACTGACCCGCGCCATGGAAGGCGGGCATCCTCCCCAGTGACTCCCCCCCGCCGCCCGCTGCGGTCGCACTTCCGGCGGGCGGTGTCCCGTGCACTAAACGGGACAAGGTGTCCATGATACCCTCCAATTTCTCCGTCACCATCTTTTCCAGTCTGGTGCTGGCGTCGCCCACGGCGTCGTCGATGGCCGTCCTAAGCTCCTCATGAGTCGGGCCGGCCTCGC